GGGATTGAACTCAGGATCTTGTCTTGCTAGCTCCCCAAATGTGTATGTTCTTGATGCCCTGGGGTTTCATTTAGTACTTTTTAGTATAAATATATCCAGTATTACCTTCGTCTGTGAAGTTTTATATTTAAGTGATATTTTAGGCTCAAGTATTGTGGAATTAGGAAAATTTTGTGGTAAGATAATAATTGGCTGACTTGTTTATTGGTGATAAGATGTTTCTGTTGATTTCTATGTTCTTTTCAGTTTTATCTAAAGGGTTTTGTGTCCTCCATAAAATTTTTTTCTACATTTTCTGTAAGCTGCTTCAAATCCATTTTACATATAGATAAATAGAAGTACAAAATCTAAATTAAAAAATATTCAATAGACTATTCTACCCTAAGTTTTAAGAGGCCAGGGACTGCATCTACTTACTATTGTATTATTCAGGAACTCACACATGATGGGCAAGTTTCTTTTGGTAAACTGATTAGTATGTGTGTGGTCAGTGAAAATATTACAAAAATATTTTCTGAAAATAATTGTGGTTAACTTGTGGACCCCTGACTTGGTTACTTTTCTTTCATTGCTGAAGCAGAATACCCAGGACCCTAAATTGAGGAAGGAAAGGTTTATTTAGCTCAGTTTGTGGAGCTTTCAGTCCATAATCACTGGCTTCAAGCAGGGTGATGCAGCACCAGGGCCACAGATGAGTGCCGCAGAAGACAGCAGCAGCAGCCGGCACAGGAGTGGGGCAGTGCGCCACTCCTCCCTTATATCATAGCAGGCTCCCACCCGAGGGCGCGTCCTGTGTGCCCACACGCTGTCTGTGACCTCCTGCGTGGCTCAGGATGTGTATGGAGTGAGGGCCCTGGCCCCTACCAGACGGCTGTGTAGCTTCTGAACTTACCAAGTTGACATAATGTATCAACCATTTACCTCCCAGGTCTAAAAAGTAAAATACCCATTTCTAATGAGTTTTAATAAACTATTTAGTACCAAGTTACATTGAATTGATGTATTGTGGGTTGTTTTCTTTGTATTGTTTTCTGTAGTTATCTCCAGTCTTAACTAGTGAAGTTCATAGTGTTCGTGCAGGACGGCATCTTGCTACCAAATTGAATATTTTAGTCCAGCAACATTTCGACTTGGCTTCGACCACTATTACAAATATTCCAATGAAGGTAGGCAGTTCTTGTCCCTGCTGTTTTGAAAGCTCTACTTTGCTTTGTAAATATTTGTTTTGACATGTATTATTTATTTTAATTGAACCTTTACTTTTTCTTCCCATATCGTGTTTTCTGTTTTGCTAGCCCACATTCAGTGTCTTTGATCAGGTCAGTAATACTGAAAAATAACAAGAAAGGATCACAGAACAAAATTTACTGTTGTTTCTAATAAGTGTATACTATAGGAATTTTTTTTTTTTTAAATTAGGTTCTAATTTTTGTCAAAATGTAAGCTTTTAAATTATTTTTCTGTGATTCTTTTCATGACACCTGTGGTATTATATTACTTACTTTGTGTATTCTAGTGGATCTTCTGTTCTCTATACTGTTGTTCTTACCCATCTACTGTAACTAGTTTATAATAGGTTTAATTACAGAGAAATTATTCATAGCTTTCAATTAGTTTATTACATTGTAGCAGAAGAACCATAGATGCAAGTCCTCTGCTTTTTTTTTACAAATGGATTTTCTTAGGAATCTTATTACTTCACTCAGTTTTATATTATTATTGAGCTGTTTTATAGCAGCACAATGCCTGGTCCATAGAGAGCTTTGGGTGAATTGTTACTGAGTATACGTGAATATAATTGCATTGATTATATCTAAAACAAGTAACTGCTATACCTGAAAGTTTACACTGGCTTTCCTGTAGTCCAGTTTCCATTTTTTTGCCACTATACCATGAACACTAAATTGTATGATAAATATATCTCTTTCATTATTAATTAACTTCTAATTCCATTGGCTGGTTGTTTATCAGAAATTGTAGCTGGGGAGATGGCTCAGTAGAATAAGTGCTTGCCTGACAAGCGCAAGGGCCTAAGTTCAATCCCTGGTTCCTCCAAAAAAAAAAAAAAAAAAGAAAGAAATTTTAGGCATACCTTTTAAAGCCTTGGATGCCGAAGCAATTAGCAAAGAAAATAATATACGTATATTATAGTAGTTGTACCTTAATATGTAATTTGTTACTTTCATGAGTTAGAAGAAAAATATAGTGAGGGTCATAGGTGACTTGCTGAACTTGCCTGTTACTGGTGTGACTCTTCAATCTTTGTCTTTGCTAAATAAGTAATTTTGAAGTTCCTATTTATTATGTGAAAAGTTGTGAAACTTGTCTTTTAGTTTGTAATTGCTATTTTATATCACTGGTGCTTATTGTTTCACTGCAGGTATTTAAAGATGCTATTTTCTTCTTTTTTAACGCTATTTACTTACAATTTAAATATACTATTTCCATTATACTATATTGATATATAGAAAGTATTGATAAGACAATATATTTGGAGTAAAAAAATTCCAAAATTTTTGGATTAGTCACTTATTTAATTCTGACATAATTAGAAAATCATTAAATATTTTATATATGTGTTGTCAGTAGTTTTAAAGTAGTGTTCATAGTACTATTGAAAACTCTTGCATCTTTAAATAGATTAATTGCTGAGCAAACTATCCCATTCGTTCAGTTAACTATGATTGAGTATATTTAACCTTGGTTTAAGCAAGAAGCAAAATGCATTATTAATTCCGTTATTTTGAAAGCCAAACCCAAGTTATTTTGAATGGTTTCAATTTTGCTTAAAGGAGGAACAACACGCGAATACGTCGGCCAATTATGATGTGGAGCTGCTTCATCACAAAGATGCGCATGTGGATTTCCTGAAAAGTGGTAAGAGACATTTGAAAATACTGGTTTTCATAAGCTCAACATATGAAAGGTTTTTAACATTGTGAGAAATTCTTCAGTAAGTGAACCTGAATGACTTTAGCGTATCTCTCCAAACTTGTCTGATCGTATCATCTATTAATGGCTACAGAACTGATGCTGTACATGATTTGCAGTGCGCTGGGGAAGAACAGGCCAATGGAGCAAGTACATTGGCACCTCAGTTCATGAATGCAGTTTGTTCCACGGTCCTGGAAAAGATGGCCGTGTTCTTCTTTGTGCAGGAAAGATGGCTGTGGTCAGGTTCTTCAGCCGCTGCAGTTTGCAAACAAAAAGTTTGCCAAAGCTTTCACCAACAGACTTCACAAACAAAAGCGTGTGTGAACTGAGGTACCACTGTGTTGAGAGAGTTCACTGTGTTCTTCTCAAGCATAAGTTTGTTGCAAACTCATATCAGGTTTCTCTCCTTTAAACAAGGACCCTGGCATAGGGAAAGAACAGGAGCAGCCTTGAAAAAGGACACACATTACTGCTAGCCTGGAAAAAATTATGAAATTCAAATGTTTTGTTCCTCTAAAAATTTTT